TGTGATGACGATGGTGAGATGGTGATGACGATGGTGATGATGGTGATGACGACGGTGATGATGATGGTGAGATGATGGTGATGATGATGGTGAAGATGATGGTGATGATGGTGGTGATGGTGGTGATGATGGTGATAATGGTGATGACGATGGTGATGGTGGTGACGATGATGGTGATGATGGTGACGATGATGGTGATGGTGGTGATGATGGTGATGACTGTGGTGATGGTGGTGATGATGGTAATGACTGTGGTGATGGTGATGACGGTGATGACGATGGTGATGATGGTGATGATGGTAATGACGGTGGTATTGGCGGTGACGATGACGATGATGCTAATGACGATGGCGGCGATGACGACGACGACGACGTCATTGTTGTTGTTGCGTTCGACGTCGGATCAGACGGCCAATGGCAAGCTGGGGAGCTGTGGGGCGACCCCTTGCCCCCTGGCGTCCGGGTCACGGAGGTCACGGCGAGGTCAGGGGTCACGGTCTCGAAGCTCGTCATCGCCTCGCTGGAGGACAACCTCGCCGGCTTCTACCGCTGCCTCCTGCGGACGAGCGGAGGGACAGCGGTTAGCGGACCGGCCTACGTCTCCGTCATCAGTGAGTCTACCGGGGGGGGCAGGGGGGGGGCAGGGGGGGGCAGGGGGGGGCAGGGGGGGGGGCAGGGGGGTGGTGGTGGTTTGCTTGGACCGGTCCTGTGACGGAGCGGAGGATTGTGGGAGTAATTGATTCAAGTAAAAAAAGGTGGCGGGACTTCCCTGCAAAGCATTGTGGGAGGAAGCTCGTCAACACACACAGGTCACTCTCCCCGCCACGTGCACCTGTTGGGGTCAAGTGCTGCACTCACTCGCCCCCCCACCCCCCCCCATCTCCCCGCCACCCCCTAGACACAAACTCCTCCGCCCACGTATCCCCCATCCGCGTCTCCGTGGCAACCGGCTCCTCGCTGGTCCTCGGCTGCCTGCACCCCGGCAACAACAACAACGACAACAACAACGACGACAACAACAACAACGACGGCGGCGAGGATTCCGATCCGCGTTCCGTCTCCGCGTGGATCGGTCCCGGCGGCACCGCCGTGCCGGCGTTGTTGGCGTCTCCGCGCGGCAGGATGAGGATGAGTGACGTGCGGAGGAGCGACGGGGGTCGCTACGTCTGCCGCTCGACCGGCCCGCCGCCGGCGGTGGTGGTGGACGAGGTGGTCTACCTCGTCAGCGTGGCGGGTGAGCGGGGGGGGAGGGGGAGGGGGGTGTGCAATCACTCGCTCTCACTCTCACGCGCTCACTCGCTGTCCAACGCTCACTCACTCACGCTCACTCACTCACTCTCACTCACTCTCACGCTCACTCACTCACGCTCACTCACTCACGCTCACTCACTCACGCTCACTCACTCTCACGCTCACTCACTCACGCTCACTCACTCTCACTCGCTCACGGTCACTCACTCTCACTCACTCTTTCTCTCACTCGCTCTCACTCGTTCTTTCTCTCTATCACTCGCTCTCACGCTCATTCGCTCTCTCTCACTCACTCCCTCTCTCTCTCTCCCTCTCCACTCGGTGGGGGTCACACAGAGACCCATAGACTCACATAGAGACCCGTAGACTCACACAGAGACCCATAGACTCACACAGAGACCCACAGACTTACACAGAGACCCACAGACTCACACAGAGACCCATAGACTCACACAGAGACCCACAGACTTACACAGAGACCCACAGACTCACACAGAGACCCATAGACTCACACAGAGACCCATAGACTCACACAGAGACCCACAGACTCACACAGAGACCCATAGACTAACACATAGACCCATAGACTAACACAGAGACCCACAGACTAACAGAGAAACCCATAGACTAACACAGAGACCCATAGACTAACACAGAGACCCACAGACTAACACAGAGACCCATAGACTAACACAGAGACCCATAGACTAACACAGAGACCCATAGACTAACACAGAGACCCACAAACTCGCGTAGAGACCCATAGACTAACACAGAGACCCATAGACTAACACAGATACCCATAGACTAACACAGAGACCCATAGACTTACATAGAGACCCATAGACTCACACAGACACCCACAGGCTCGCACAGAGACCCACAGACTCGCACAGAGACCCACAGACTCGCACAGAGACCCACAGACTCACACAGAGACCCACAGACTCGCACAGAGACCCATAGACTCGCACAGAGACCCATAGACTAACACAGAGACCCACAGACTCGCACAGAGACCCATAGACTAACACAGAGACCCACAGACTCGCACAGAGACCCATAGACTAACACAGAGACCCACAGGCTCACACAGAGACCCATAGACTCGCACAGACACCCATAGAGATCCACAGACTAACACAGAGACCCACAGGCTCACACAGAGACCCATAGACTCGCACAGAGACCCATAGAGATCCACAGACTCACACAGAGACCCATAGACTCACACAGAGACCCATAGACTCACACAGAGACCCATAGACTCACATAGAGACCAACAGACTAACACAGAGACCCACAGACTAACACAGAGACCCATAGACTCACACGGAGACCCGTAGACTCACACAGAGACCCACAGACTTGCACAGAGACCCACAGACTCGCACAGAGACCCACAGACTCACACAGAGACCCACAGACTCGCACAGAGACCCATAGACTCGCACAGAGACCCATAGACTAACACAGAGACCCACAGACTCGCACAGAGACCCATAGACTAACACAGAGACCCACAGACTCACACAGAGACCCATAGACTAACACATAGACCCATAGACTAACACAGAGACCCACAGACTAACAGAGAAACCCATAGACTAACACAGAGACCCATAGACTAACACAGAGACCCACAGACTAACACAGAGACCCATAGACTAACACAGAGACCCATAGACTAACACAGAGACCCATAGACTAACACAGAGACCCACAAACTCGCGTAGAGACCCATAGACTAACACAGAGACCCATAGACTAACACAGATACCCATAGACTAACACAGAGACCCATAGACTTACATAGAGACCCATAGACTCACACAGACACCCACAGGCTCGCACAGAGACCCACAGACTCGCACAGAGACCCACAGACTCGCACAGAGACCCACAGACTCACACAGAGACCCACAGACTCGCACAGAGACCCATAGACTCGCACAGAGACCCATAGACTAACACAGAGACCCACAGACTCGCACAGAGACCCATAGACTAACACAGAGACCCACAGACTCGCACAGAGACCCATAGACTAACACAGAGACCCACAGGCTCACACAGAGACCCATAGACTCGCACAGACACCCATAGAGATCCACAGACTAACACAGAGACCCACAGGCTCACACAGAGACCCATAGACTCGCACAGAGACCCATAGAGATCCACAGACTCACACAGAGACCCATAGACTCACACAGAGACCCATAGACTCACACAGAGACCCATAGACTCACATAGAGACCAACAGACTAACACAGAGACCCACAGACTAACACAGAGACCCATAGACTCACACGGAGACCCGTAGACTCACACAGAGACCCACAGACTTGCACAGAGACCCACAGACTCGCACAGAGACCCACAGACTCACACAGAGACCCACAGACTCGCACAGAGACCCATAGACTCGCACAGAGACCCATAGACTAACACAGAGACCCACAGACTCGCACAGAGACCCATAGACTAACACAGAGACCCACAGACTCGCACAGAGACCCATAGACTAACACAGAGACCCATAGACTCGCACAGAGAACCATAGACTAACACAGAGACCCACAGGCTCACACAGAGACCCATAGACTCGCACAGAGACCCATAGAGATCCACAGACTCACACAGAGACCCATAGACTCACACAGAGACCCATAGACTCGCACAGAGACCCATAGAGATCCACAGACTCACACAGAGACCAACAGACTAACACAGAGACCCACAGACTAACACAGAGACCCACAGGCTCACACAGAGACCCATAGACTCGCACAGAGACCCATAGAGATCCACAGACTCACACAGAGACCCATAGACTCACACAGAGACCCATAGACTCACACAGAGACCCATAGACTCACATAGAGACCAACAGACTAACACAGAGACCCACAGACTAACACAGAGACCCATAGACTCACACGGAGACCCGTAGACTAACACAGAGACCCACAGACTCACACAGAGACCCACAGACTCGCACAGAGACCCATAGACTCGCACAGAGACCCACAGACTAACACAGAGACCCACAGACTCACACAGAGACCCACAGACTCACACAGAGACCCATAGACTCGCACAGAGACCCACAGACTCGCACAGAGACCCACAGACTCACACAGAGACCCACAGACTCACACAGAGACCCACAGACTCGCACAGAGACCCATAGACTCACACAGAGACCCACAGACTCACACAGAGGCCCATAGACTCGCACAGAGACCCACAGACTCGCACAGAGACCCAGAGACTCACACAGAGACCCACAGACTCGCACAGAGACCAACAGACTCACACAGAGACCCATAGACTCACACAGAGACCCATAGACTCGCACAGAGGCCCATAGACTCACACAGAGACCCACAGACTCACACAGAGACCCACAGACTAACACAGAGACCCATAGACTCGCACAGAGGTCCATAGACTCACACAGAGACCCATAGACTCGCACAGAGACCCACAGACTAACACAGAGACCCACAGACTCGCACAGAGACCCACAGACTCACACAGAGACCCATAGACTCGCACAGAGGTCCATAGACTCACACAGAGACCCATAGACTAACACAGAGACCCATAGACTCACACAGAGACCCATAGACTCACACAGAGACCCACAGACTCGCACAGAGACCCACAGACTCACACGGAGACCCATAGACTAACACAGAGACCCGTAGACTCACACAGAGACACATAGACTCACACAGAGACCCACAGACTCACACAGAGATCCGTAGAATTGCATAACTTCCCTGTGTCTCAACTCACCCTCCCTCACCCCCCCTCACCCCCCACCCCCCTCACCCCCCTCACCCCCCTCACCCCCCCCCCACCCCCCCCCCCACCCCCCCCCCATCTGCAGACCCCCCCCTCCCCGCGTCCCCTCTGCAGGAGTTGTCTACGGCTCCGAGTGCGGTGGCCGTGGTGAGCTGCGGCGGGGTGGGAGGTCGCGACCTCTTCCCTCTCCGCTGGCTCCGCGACGGGCGACCCCTGACCCCCGACCCGCGGCTGGACGAGGGTCGCGGCCTGCTGACGATCGCCGGCGTGCGGGAGGGCGACTCCGGCGTCTACCAGTGCCTGGTGGAGCGGGGGGACCTGGAGGGCGGGAGCCTCACCAGAGTCACAGTGATCACCGGTGAGTGGGTGGGTGAATGAGTGAGTGAGTGGGTGAGTGAGTGGGTGGGTAGGTGAGTGTGTCGGTGAGTGAGTGGGTGGGTGAGTGGGTGAGTGGGTGAGTGGGTGAGTGAGTGGGTGGGTAGGTGGGTGGGTGGGTGAGTGGGTGGGTGAGTGGGTGGGGGGTGGGGGGTGAGTGGGTGGGTGAGTGGGTGGGTGGGTGAGTGGGTGGGTGGGTGGGTGGGTGGGTGGGTGAGTGGGTGGGTGGGTGGGTGGGTGGGTGAGTGGGTGAGAGGGTGGGTGAGTGGGTGGGTGGGTGAGTGGGTGAGAGGGTGAGAGAGTGGGTGGGTGGGTGGGTGGGTGGGTGAGTGGGTGGGTGAGTGGGTGAGAGGGTGGGTGAGTGGGTGGGTGAGTGGGTGGGTGAGTGGGTGAGAGGGTGGGTGAGTGAGTGGGTGGGTGAGTGGGTGAGTGGGTGAGTGAGTGGGTGGGTAGGTGGGTGGGTGGGTGAGTGGGTGGGTGAGTGGGTGAGAGGGTGGGTGAGTGGGTGGGTGAGTGGGTGGGTGAGTGGGTGGGTGGGTGAGTGGGTGGGTGGGTGGGTGGGTGGGTGAGTGGGTGGGTGGGTGGGTGGGTGAGTGGGTGGGTGAGTGGGTGGGTGGGTGGGTGAGTGGGTGGGTGGGTGAGTGGGTGAGTGGGTGAGTGGGTGGGTGGGTGAGTGGGTGGGTGGGTGAGAGGGTGTGTGGGTGAGAGGGTGAGTGAGAGGTGGATGAGTGGGTGAGTGGGTGGGTGAGTGGGTGGGTGAGTGGGTGAGAGGGTGAGTGGGTGAGAGGGTGAGTGGGTGAGAGGGTGGGTGGGTGGGTGAGTGAGTGGGTGAGTGGGTGAGAGGGTGGGTGGGTGGGTGGTGAGTGAGTGGGTGGGTGGGTGAGTGGGTGGGTGGGTGGGTGAGTGGGTGGGTGGGTGAGTGGGTGAGTGGGTGGGTGGGTGGGTGGGTGTGTGAGTGGGTGGGTGGGTGGGTGGGTGAGTGGGTGGGTGGGTGAGTGGGTGGGTGGGTGGGTGGGTGGGTGGGTGAGTGGGTGGGTGGGTGGGTGGGTGAGTGGGTGGGTGGGTGGGTGGGTGGGTGAGTGGGTGGGTGGGTGGGTGAGTGGGTGGGTGGGTGAGTGGGTGGGTGAGTGGGTGAGTGGGTGAGTGGGTGGGTGGGTGAGTGGGTGGGTGGGTGAGTGAGTGGGTGAGTGGGTGGGTGGGTGAGTGGGTGGGTGGGTGAGTGGGTGGGTGGGTGAGTGGGTGAGTGGGTGGGTGGGTGAGTGGGTGGGTGAGTGAGTGAGTGGGTGAGTGGGTGGGTGGGTGGGTGAGTGGGTGGGTGGGTGGGTGGGTGAGTGGGTGGGTGGGTGGGTGGGTGAGTGGGTGGGTGAGTGGGTGGGTGAGTGGGTGGGTGGGTGAGTGGGTGGGTGGGTGAGTGGGTGGGTGGGTGGGTGGGTGAGTGGGTGAGTGGGTGGGTGGGTGAGTGGGTGGGTGGGTGAGTGGGTGGGTGAGTGGGTGGGTGGGTGAGAGGGTGTGTGGGTGAGAGGGTGAGTGAGAGGTGGATGAGTGGGTGAGTGGGTGGGTGAGTGGGTGGGTGAGTGGGTGAGAGGGTGAGAGGGTGAGAGGGTGAGTGGGTGAGAGGGTGGGTGGGTGAGTGAGTGGGTGAGTGGGTGAGTGGGTGGGTGGGTGGGTGAGAGGGTGGGTGAGTGAGTGGGTGGGTGGGTGAGTGAGTGGGTGGGTGGGTGGGTGAGTGGGTGCGTGGGTGGGTGAGTGGGTGGGTGAGTGGGTGAGAGGGTGAGAGGGTGAGTGGATGAGAGGGTGGGTGGGTAGGTGAGTGAGTGGGTGAGTGGGTTAGTGGGTGGGTGGGTGAGTGAGTGAGTGGGTGGGTGAGTGGGTGAGTGGGTGGGTGGGTGGGTGGGTGAGTGAGTGGGTGGGTGGGTGAGTGGGTGGGTGGGTGGGTGAGTGGGTGGGTGGGTGAGTGGGTGGGTGAGTGGGTGGGTGGGTGAGTGGGTGGGTGGGTGAGTGGGTGGGTGGGTGGGTGAGTGGGTGAGTGGGTGGGTGGGTGAGTGGGTGAGTGGGTGAGTGGGTGGGTGAGTGGGTGGGTGGGTGAGAGGGTGTGTGGGTGAGAGGGTGAGTGAGAGGTGGATGAGTGGGTGAGTGGGTGGGTGAGTGGGTGGGTGAGTGGGTGAGAGGGTGAGAGGGTGAGAGGGTGAGTGGGTGGGTGGGTGGGTGAGTGAGTGGGTGAGTGGGTGAGAGGGTGGGTGGGTGGGTGGGTGAGTGAGTGGGTGAGTGGGTGAGAGGGTGGGTGGGTGAGTGGGTGGGTGGGTAAGTGGGTGGGTGAGAGGGTGAGTGGGTGGGTGAGTGGGTGGGTGGCTGAGTGGGTGAGAGGGTGGGTGAGTGGTTGGGTGGGTGGGTGAGTGGGTGAGAGGGTGGGTGAGAGGGTGAGTGGGTGAGATGGTGGGTGGGTGAGTGGTTGGGTGGGTGGGTGAGTGGGTGAGTGGGTGAGATGGTGGGTGTGTGAGTGGGTGGGTAAGTGGGTGGGTGGGTGGGTGAGTGGATGGGTGGCTGAGTGAGTAAGAGGGTGGGTGAGAGGGTGAGTGGGTGAGATGGTGGGTGGGTGAGTGGACCTCTCCTCATCGCCACCCTCTTCCTCCTCAGGTCGCGAACCCTCCATCGCCACATCATCATCAGCAGCATCATCATCATCATCAGCAGCATCATCATCATCATCAGCAGCATCATCATCATCATCATCATCATCATCATCAGCAGCATCATTATCATCAGCAGCGGCGTCGACGCCTCCTCCGCCTCCCGCCGTCTCCGTGGCGACGGCCAATCAGAGCGCGGCGGGGGCGGCCCCGAGGGCTCAAGCCACGGCGCCCGAGGCCCCCATCATCTTGAGTCCGACGCGGACTCACCGGCCGGACTCGTACCTCCTGCAGTGGATGCCGGGCTCATCGTCATCATCGTCGTCGTCATCATCGTCGTCGTCGTCGTCGTCGTCCGAGTCTGGTGGTGGTGGTGCCAACGCCGGTTCCTCCTCCGTGCTCGACTTCCTGATTCGCTACCGGGAGGTGAGTGGCGGCTTCGTATCGGCCAATCGGTGGCTTCCAAATTCGGGGGCGGCTGTTGGTGGTGGTGGTGGGTGAGGGGGGTCGCAAGAAATCAATCGGTCTTTACGAATGTTACGCACCAATATCTATAAACTAAAACACTAAAGCTAAACTGTGATAATTGGTTTTTTACCCTTCTATCTGGCAACAAAACTGACACCTTTTTTACGAGGAGGGCACGGAGAAAAATCGACGGGGAAAGAGAGACACCGCAAACTCCAGATACACAGCAACGGGCGCTAAGATCAGTGTCGAACTCACGGCCTCCTGTACAGCAGGCGAGGTAGTTAACAGCGCGGGGAGACACCCAGAGAAGACAAGCGAAGACACGTGTGTCTCCTCCGTGTGTCTCCGTGCGTCACCGTGTGTCTCCGTGTGTCTCCGTGTGTCTCCACGTGTCTCCACGTGTCTCCGTGTGTCTCCACGTGTCTCCGTGTGTCACCGTGTGTCTCCGCGTGTCACCGCGCGTCACCGTGTGTCTCCGTGTCTCCGCGTGTCTCCGCGCATCACCGTGTGTCTCCTCCGTGTCTCCGTGTGTCACCGTGTGTCTCCACGTGTCTCCGTGTGTCTCCACGTGTCTCCGTGTGTCACCGTGTGTCTCCACGTGTCTCCGTGTGTCACCGTGTGTCTCCGCGTGTCACCGCGCGTCACCGTGTGTCTCCGCGTGTCTCCGCGCGTCACCGTGTGTCTCCTCCGTGTGTCTCCACGTGTCTCCACGTGTCTCCGTGCGTCTCCGCAGCTCTCCGAGGACGGCTCTGTGGGCGGCCGCTGGCTCACGGTGCGCGTGCCGCCGTGTGTCTCCGTGTGTCTCTGTGTCTCCGTGTGTCTCCGTGTGTCTCTGTGTCTCCGTGCGTCACCGTGCGTGTGTCTCCGCGTGTCTCCTCTGCGTCTCCACAGCTCTCCGAGGACGGCTCTGTGGGCGGCCGCTGGCTCACGGTGCGCGTGCCTCCCGACCAGCGCGAGTTCTCGCTGTCGCAGCTGCGTGCGGCCAGCCTCTACGAGGTGGAGGTGCTCGCACGCAGCAGCCTGCGCGCAGACGGCCAGGCCGCCATGTTCACCTTCCGCACGGGGAGAGGTGAGGGGGGGGCGGGGGGGGGCGGGGGGGGTGAGGGGCGGGTGAGCGGCGAGAATCAGAGGTCGCAAACGGGTTTTGATTCATACTAATAGGGTTTTTCCCCTTTTTTCTGGCAACAAAACTGACACCTTTTGCAAGGAATCATGCTTACATTAACCACAATACTTGCAGTCAAATGCAAACAAAAAACACAACTCTGATAATGTATGCATTGTCTTTGAAACTGATTGGTCCACACCAGAGACAGCTTTCTTTAGAGCCTAGTCTCATATGGTGTTCGACCAGATGACGCCAAAAGGCGCACAGTTCAAAGACAACGCGCTACTAGAGTAATGAGAGCTCGGGGTGAGCAGCTACATCATGGGACCTCCTTTGCCAGTACCACAATATACTAATAGGGGTTTTCCCCTTTTTTCTGCTAAAGGTGTCAGTTTTGTTGCCAGAAAAAAGGGGAAAACCCCTATTAGTATATTGTGGTACTGGCAAAGGAGGTCCCATGATGGGTTTTGATTCCTTACCCGTACCCGTACCCGGCCGCACCAGGGTCGCAAACGGGTACCTGTACCCTACCCTGATACCCGGCTACCCGTACCCGGCCGGGTATCGGGTACGGGTATGGGTATCGGGTACCCGGTTGCGACCTCTGGCGGCGGGTGAGGGGCTGGTGAGGGGCGGGGGAGGGGTGGGTGAGCAACAACCATGGTGGCTATGAGATGTTAACTACCTCGCCTGGTATACAGGAGGTCGTGGGTTCGAACCCGTGGTGGAGAGATGTTAACTACCTCGCCTGGTATACAGGAGGTCGTGGGTTCGAACCCACGGTGGCTATGAGATGTTAACTACCTCGCCTGGTGTACAGGAGATTGTGGGTTCGAACCCATGGTGGAGAGATGTTAACTACCTACCTAAATTTGTCTGTTTGCACTTAGTCACATATTCACTTTAAGATGTTTTCTTGTTCATGTTTTTGTTTTTTGTTGGTTGCGGTTGCACCCGATTCAAGAGCCGAATGGCTCACAGGGTTATATACCTAATACATGAACTTGAACTGTGTGTGTGTCACAGAGCGATCCCCCAAGTTCCCGGCGATTGGCACCCACGTGGTGGGAGCTGGACAGACGAAGAACGACTCCAAGCACGGAGCGACAGAGGACGGGGGACACACAGGTACACGCACGCACACACACGTACACACATACACGCGTACACACATACAGGTACACACACACGTACACACACGCACGCACACACACACTTACACACACACACGTACACACACAGGTATATACACACACTTACACACACACACGTTGTAGACACACACAAAGACAAAGATCCCCCGTATAGCCTTAACAGACTGTAGGGGCAAGTGCTGTTAGCGAGCACCTATGAAGGCCGGAACGGTACACGAGGGGGTGGGTGGCCAGCACCACGCCCGACCGCCTTTGTCTCCCCAGTGGCGATGTTTACACACCGCACCAGGTACTCATTTAAGGCTGAGTCGACCTAGGGGAGGCCCAGGACCGGTTCAGATAATCGTCACTGGTGTTAGCCGTGAGCGGGAATCGAACCCGGGTCGCCAGGTTCATAGCGCAGCGCGCTAACCGCTACACTACCGCTCCCCACACACACGCGTACACACACACGTACACACAGGTACACACACACACGCACACACGTACACACACACACAGGTACACACGTACACGCACACACACAGGTACACGCACGTACACACACACGTACACACACACGTTGTAGACACACACACACACACGTACACACACACGTACACACACAGGTACACACACGTACACACACACGTACACACACACACGTACACACACACACACGTACACACACACACACGTACACACACTTACACACGTACACACACTTACACACGTACACACACTTACACACGTACACACACGCGTACACACACACGTACACACACACACGTACACACACACTTGCACACGCACACGTACACACACACACACGTACACACACACACGTACACACACACTTACACACACAGGTACACACACACACGTACACACACAGGTATACACACACACACGCACGTACACACACGCACGTACACACACACTTACACACGCACACGTACACACACACACACGTACACACACACACGCGTACACACACACGCGTACACACATACACGCGTACACACACACACGTACACACACACGCATACACGCACGTACACACACACTTACACACACACGCACACACACGTACACACACACGTACACACACACACGTACACACACACGTACACACACACACTTACACCCACACACACACACACGTACATACACACGGGCTTAACGTGAGCTGTGAAGCCCCCTTGATGCTGTGAGCTCCCCCCCCCCTCCCCCCGTTCACTGCCCCCCTCTCTCTCCTCTCTCTCCTGTCTCTCCTCTCTCTCTCCTCTCTCTCTCTCTCCTCTCTCCTGTCTCTCCTCTCTCTCCTGTCTCTCACCTTGGCTGCTGCCGCCCTGATGATCGTGAGTACCCATCCATCTGCTGCACGCCAATGCCGCCACGTTGTGAGTGAGGGGAGACCCCCACCCAACAACGCTGACCCGAGCCAGGCAATACCCCCCCCTCTCATCTCACTCCACTTCCCTCTCATCTCACTCTACTCCCCTCCACGCACTCTCCCACCTCTCCCCTCTCATCTCACTCTACTCCCCTCCACGCTCTCTCCTGCCTCTCCCCTCTCATCTCACTCTACTCCCCTCCACGCACTCTCCTGCCTCTCCCCTCTCATCTCACTCCACTCCCCTCCACGCTCTCTCCTGCCTCTCCCCTCTCATCTCACTCTACTCCCCTCCACGCACTCTCCTGCCTCTCCCCTCTCATCTCACTCCACTCCCCTCCACGCACTCTCCAACCGTGGTGATGATGATGATGAGAGAGAGAGACACGCAAACTCCAAATATACAGCAGCAGGCGTCAGGATCGGGATCAAACCCACAACCTCCTGCACCCCAGGCGAGGTAGTTAACATCTCCTAGCCACCGTGATGATGATGATGAGAGAGAGAGGGAGACACGCAAACTCCAAATACACAGCAGCAGGCGTCAGGGTCGGGATCGACCCCACGACCTCCTGCATACCAGGCAAGGTAGTTAACATCTCCTAGCCACCGTGATGATGATGATGAGAGAGAGACACGCAAACTCCAAATATACAGCAGCAGGCGTCAGGGTCGGGATCGAACCCACGACCTTCTGTACACCAGGCAAGGTAGTTAACATCTCCGAGCCACCGTGATGATGATGATGATGAGAGAGAGAGACACGCAAACTCCAAATATACAGCAGCAGGCGTCAGGGTCGGGATCGACCCCACGACCTCCTGCGTACCAGGCGAGGTAGTCAACATCTCCCCCCCCCCTCCCCCCAAGTCCCAGAGGCCCCGGACCGACCCACGGTGGCGATGGCGTCCGACTCATCGGCCTACGTGACGTGGATCCCTCGCGCCAACGGCGGCTCCCCCATCACCGCGTTCCACGTGGAGTTCCGGCGGCTGGGGGGCGGGGGGGGGGGCCCCCCCCAACACTCGGGCGGGGGGGGGCCGGCGCCCGGCGGGGGGGTGGGGGCCGCCCCCCCCCACCACCACGCGGCGGGGGAGTGGACGGTGGCCGCCAAGGGGATCCCTCCCTCCAAGCTCTCGGTGGAGGTCAAGGGGCTGCAGCCGGGTGAGCGAGGGGGGGGTGTGTGTGTGTGTGTCTGGCTAAAGCACAGCAAGTTGGCACAGTAGGGGGCACAGGTGGTGCATCAGCCAGTCATCTCGGTCATCTCGGTCAGTCGACCCGTGGCACCTGCTGGGTCTGCCCCGTGACCTCCTGCCAGCGGGCGTTCGACACTTCACGTGGTAGCCTCAAGCTGCACTTGGCCTGGCACAAGCGTCGTGGTGACGTCACCGCCACTTAGTGGCGAATGGCGGTTGTTGTTGTGTCTGTGTGTGTGTCTGTCTATGTGTGTGTGTCTCTGTGTGTGTGTCTGTGTGTGTGTCTGTGTGTGTGTCTGTCAGTGTGTCTGTGTGTCTGTGTGTGTGTCTGTGTCAGTGTGTGTGTGTCTCTGTGTGTGTGTCTGTGTGTGTCTCTGTGTGTGTCTGTGTGTGTGTCTGTGTGTGTCTGTGTTTGTGTGTGTGCTGTGTGTGTGTTTATCTGTGTGTGTGTATCTGTGTGTGTTTACCTGTGTGTGTGTGTTTACCTGTGTGTGTGTTTACCTGTGTGTGTCTGTGTGTGTGTCTGTGTCTGTGTGTGTTTTCCTGTGTGTATGTTTACCTGTGTGTGTGTTTACCTGTGTGTGTGTGTATCTGTGTGTGTGTATCTGTGTGTGTGTATCTGTGTGTGTGTATCTGTGTCTGTGTGTGTGTATCTGTGTGTGTGTATCTGTGTGTATGTGTGTGTGTGTATGTTTACCTGTGTGTATGTTTACCTGTGTGTAGGAGCCACGTACCGTTTCCGCGTGGCCGCCAGCAACGCGTGTGGGGAGAGTGCGCGCAGCGCGGCGTCGCGAGCCTACGGCGTGGGCGGCGCGTCGGACCGCCCGTCCCCGCGTCCCGTCGCCGGCCCCTACATCACCTACACGGACGCGCTGAGCTCCTCCAAGATCCTGCTCAAGTGGACGGTGACTGTCATGGAGAAAAACATGAACACGTACAGTGGCACCCCGGGAGATCGAACTCAATTCGTTCCAGAAGGCCGTTGGAACACCGATTTGTTCGAACGCCGAATTTAATTCGCCCGCGACAATTAATGTCGATGACTTTCGATTGAAAGCTTTCGTGACCGCAGGGATTCATCTTCTTGGTTCTTTCGGTAAAGTCACGTAGAAGGGAAATAATAAATTAATAAGAATAAAACATAATTAAATACAATTCTCACGACGTTTCGGCCACAACGCAAGCAGCCGTCCTCAGGTGAAGAACAGGTCTGTCGGAAAGACAGCGTCTCATTCAGACAGCGTCTCATTCAGACGCTGTCTTTCCGACAGACCTGTTCTCCACCTGAGGACGGCTGCTTGCGTTGTGGCCGAAACGTCGTGAGAATTGTATTTTATTATGTTTTATTTTAATTATTTTAATATTTCCCTTCTACGTGCCTTTACCGAAAAAACCAAAGAGTTTGTACCATCAAACCCTGCAGCCATAGCTGGCTGCATGGTGAAATGTGTGATGATTCTAGATTTAAAGCTTTCATTACTGCAGGGACTCATCTTCTTGGTTCAGCGTCTGTCGGAAAGACGGACGCTGTCCCGACAGACCTGTTCTTCACCTGAGGACGGCTGCTTGCGTTGTGGCCGAAACGTCGTGAGAATTGTATTATGTTTAATTTTTGTTATTTTATTATTTCCCTTCTACGTGACTTTACCGAAAGAACCAAGAAGATGTTTTTTGTTCGTGTTTTTGTTTGTTGCGGTTGCACCCGATTCAAGAGCCGAATGGCTCACAGGGCTCTCTACCTAATACATGAACTTGAACTTGTTAAGGGCTACACGGGGGACCTTTGTCTAATTTTAATTTTGGAGCTTTCGTGACTGCAGGAATTACTCTTTGGTTCTTTCGGTAAAGTCACGTCTAAAGATAAAGTAATAAATTAAATTAATAGCATATTACGACGTTTCGATTGCAACACAAGCAATCATCATCAGGCATAAAAGAAATAGCAACAAAAATCTAACTAGAAAACTATAGACAGACACACAAGCAGACAGACATCACAAGGACACACACAGAGAGAGGACACGTATCGGCACAACGAGAGAGGTCGTTTCTGTAACGGTCCCTTAAATATAGAGAGAGGGGGCGGAGAGAGGGAGGGGGCAGAGAAAAAATTAGCATGTCAATGAGTGGACGGCAACTTGCTGCTGCTGCGCAAGTAAGATGACGACCTTTGTTTGTTTGCAGTACACGCCGGAAGCGAACAACAACACTCCGATCCGGGGCTTCTACATCTTCTACCGACCCACGGACAGCGACAACGACAGCGACTATGCTGAGAACGTGGCTGACAGTGCGTCCCGCGTGTGTGTGCGTCCCGTGTGTGTCCGTGTGTGTGTGCGCACTTGTGTATGTGCGTCTGTGTGTGTGTGTGCGTGTGTGTGCGTCTGTGTGTGTCCGTGTGTGTGTGCGCGTCTGTGTGTGTGCGTCCCGTGTGTGTGCGCGTGTGTGTGTGCGCGTGTGTGTGTGCGTCTGTGTGTGTGCGTCTGTGTGCGCGCGTGTGCGTCCCGTGTGTGCGTGTGTGTGTGTGCGTGTGTGTGTGCGTCTGTGTGTGTGTGCGTCTGTGTGTGTGCGTCTGTATGCGCGCATGTGCGTCCCGTGTGTGCGTGTGTGTGTGTGCGTGTGTGTGCATGTGTGTGCGAGTGTGTGTGCGTCTGTGCATGCATCTGTGCGTCTGTGTGTGCATGCTAGCAGCACCTGCCCCAACAGTCTGTTAAGGCTACACAGGGGATCTTTATCTTTGTGTGTACATGTGTGTACATATTTGTACGTACACTCACCTCTGTCTCCCCGTGTGTCTCTCACTCTGTCTCCCTCCGTCTCCCTCTCACCTCCCCGCGTGTCTCTCTCTGTGTCTCCCCGCGTGTCTCTGTCTCTCCCCGCGTGTCTCCCTCTGTGCCTCACCGTGTGTCTCTGTCTCTCTCCGCATGTCTCCCTCCGTGTCTCCCCGCGTGTCTCTGTCTCTCACCGCGTGTCTCCCTCTGTCTCTCCCCGCGTGTCTCCCTCCGTGCCTCACCGTGTGTCTCTGTCTCTCCCCGCGTGTCTCCCTCCGTGTCTCCCCGCGTGTCTCTGTCTCTCACCGCGTGTCTCCCTCTGTCTCTCCCCACGTGTCTCCCTCTGTGTCTCCCCGCGTGTCTCTGTCTCTCACCGCGTGTCTCCCTCTGTCTCTCCCCGCGTGTCTCCCTCTGTGCCTCACCGTGTGTCTCTGTCTCTCCCCGCGTGTCTCCCTCTGTGCCTCACCGCGTGTCTCCCTCTGTGTCTCCCCGTGTGTCTCTGTCTCTCCCCGTGTCTCCCTCTGTCTCTCACCGCGTATCTCTGTCTCTCCCCGCGTGTCTCACCGTGTGTCTCTGTCTCTCCCTCCGTGTCTCACCGTGTGTCTCTGTCTCCCCGCGTGTCTCCCTCCGTGCCTCCCCGTGTGTCTCTGTCTCTCCCTCCATGTCTCACCGTGTGTCTCTGTCTCTCCCCGCGTGTCTCCCCGCGTGTCTCTGTCTCTCCCCGCGTGTCTCCCTCCGTGCCTCTCCGTGTGTCTCTGTCTCTCCCCGCGTGTCTCAGGCGAGATGCGCCACCACACGATCCACTCGCTGCTGCCCGAGACGTCGTACGACATCAAGATGAGGGTGTACAATGACGGTGGCCAGAGCGAGTTCAGCAACGTCATGATCTGTGAGACCAAGGGTGAGCGGGCGGGCGAAGGAGCGAGTGAAGGAGTGAAGGAGCGAGTGAAGGAGCGAGTGAAGGAGTGAAGGAGTGAGTGAGCGAGTGAAGGAGTGAGCGAGCAAGTGAGCGAGTGAAGGAGCGAGTGAAGGAGTGAGCGAGCGAGTGAAGGAGCGAGTGAAGGAGTGAGCGAGCGAGTGAGCGAGTGAAGGAGCGAGTGAAGGAGCGAGTGAAGGAGTGAGCGAGCGAGTGAGCGAGTGAAGGAGCGAGTGAAGGAGTGAGCGAGCGAGTGAAGGAGCGAGTGAAGGAGCGAGTGAAGGAGTGAGCGAGCGAGTGAGCGAGTGAAGGAGCGAGTGAAGGAGCGAGTGAAGGAGCGAGCGTAGGAGCGAGTGAGCGAGCGAAGGAGGCAACGATTGATTCAATGATGGAGGAGGGGGTGATTGAGGGGGTGATTGAGGGAGCGAGTGAATGAATGAGGCAGTGTGGCCTCGACATGCACCTAGCCTGGCACCCTCCCCCCCCCCTCTTAACCTCAACACTCTTCCCCCCCCCCCCAGCCGCCCGCAAACCCCACAGGGCCCACTCCCCGCGGCCCCCCACCCACCGCGACCACCATCACCACGACAACCGTCACCGTGACGACGACGACGACGACGACGACGAGGAGGAGGAGGACCGCGGCGAGCGGCCGTCTCCCAAACCGTCGCCGCCGTCCCCCGATAAAGACAACAACAACAACGGTGGTGGTGGCGGTGGTGGCGGCGGTGGCGGCGGCGGCGGCGGTGGTGGCGGTGAGCGGAGCGGAGGCGCCGCGGTTGGGGGAGGCGCCCTGCTCTACCTGCTGCTGGGCCTGCTGCTGGGCCTCATGGTTCTCACCGTGCTCGGATTCGTCGCGCTCCGAGGGTGGAAGGCTCGCAGCGGCGCGCGGGCACACGGTACGTGGGGGGGGGGGGGGGGGGACCACGTGGGGGGGGGGGGGGGTGGGGGGACCACGTGGGTACGGTACATGGGGGGGGGGGGTACCACGTGACACGCACGCTGTGGGTTGTCACGCTGTGGGTTGTCACGCTGTGGGTTGTCACGCTGTGGGTTGTCACGCTGTGCTTGCCCCGACACTGCAGCTGACGGCGTGGGGTGATCTCTGTCTTCCCTGCGTAGGCAACGGCGTGGGGGGTGCCGGCGGTGGCGGCGGTGGCTGCGTGGACGAGACTCAGCTGACCGAGCTGAGCGGCTACGAGTGCCGCCACGTCTACGAGAGCGCCACCTGCAACGGCCTCTACCCACACGGATACGACACGCACGTACGTGAACACACGCACGCGCGCACACACACACACGCGTGTGTTCACACACACACACGCGTGTACACACACACACACACACGCGCACATACATGAACACACGCGCGTGTGCACACACACACACGCTCGTACACACACACACACACGCGCGTGTACACACACACACACGCTCGTATGCACACACACACGCGCGTGCACACACACACAAAGATAAAGATCCCCAGTATAGCCTTAACAGACTGTAGGGGCAAGTGTTGTTAGCGAGCACCTATGAAGGCCGGAACGGCACACGAGGGGGTGGGTGGCCAGCACCACGCCCGACCGCCTTTGTCTCCCCAGTGGCGATGTTTACATACCGCACCAGGTACTCATTTGAGGCTGAGTCGACCTAGGGGAGGCCTAGGACCGGTTCAGATAATCGTCACTGGTGTTTGCCGTGAGCGGGAATCGAACCCGGGTCGCCAGGTTCATAGCGCAGCGCGCTAACCGCTACACTACCGCTCCCCCACATACACACGCGTACACACGTTAAGCAGTGTGACCTCTTTCTGTGTAAGTGCTGGAACTGTTGACCTCATGACCTTTTCTCGTGACCCAGGCGGACATCGACTTCACTGAACTACCCCAGGAGGAGAGCCGGAGTGATGGCCGGTGAGTGTGTGAGTGTGTGAGTGTGTGTGAATGAGTGTGTGAGTGTGTGAGTGTGTGTGTGAGTGAGTGTGTGAGTGAGTGTGTGAGTGTGTGTGTGAGTGTGTGAGTGAGTGTGTGAATGAGTGTGTGAGTATGTGAGTGAGTGTGTGAGTGAGTGTGTGAGTGAGTGTGTGAGTGTGTGAGTGAGTGTGTGAGTGAGTGTGTGAGTGGGGATTTGCCAAGAACCGGTACCAGCGGTGTCAAGATCGACCTCTGTGGAGGAGGCTCGTGAAGGACGCTACTGGGCAGTTGGAGGCAGTCGCCCTCCAACAACAACGGAGGGCGGAGGAGTGACGCTCACAACAACGAGCGGAGCCCCGGGTGGCTAAATCGCAGCGAATTGGCACAGTAGGGGGCACAGGTGGTGCATCAGCCAGTCATCTCGGCCGGGTACGGGTACGGGTAGCCGTTTGCGACCCTGGTGCGGCCGGGTACGGGTACGGGTAGGCCGTGAGTCACTGGTGAGTCACCGTTTGTCACTCATTTCGGGTAGGGTACGGGTAGGAAACGGGTACCCATTTGCGACCCTGGTGCGGCCGGGTACGGGTACGAGGGGTAAGGAATCAAAACCCGTTTGCGACCTCTGACCCGCGCCCATCTCTGTCGCCTCTAGGCCGACGGGGAGGGCTCCGCGCAGCCTGGCCAACGGGGTCGGAGGTCAAGGGTCACACGAGACTTCACCTCTCAACTCTCGAAGAACAAACGACGAGGAGGAGGAGGAGGACGAGGAGGAGGTAACGAGTGGGTGGGTGAGCGGGTGGGTGAGCGGGTGGGTGATTGGGTGGGTGAGTGACTGGGTGGGTGATTGGGTGGGTGAGTGACTGGGTGGGTGAATGGGTGGGTGAATGGGTGGGTGAATGGGTGGGTGAGTGAATGGGTGGGTGATTGGGTGGGTGAGTGACTGGGTGGGTGAGCGAGTGGGTGGGTGAATGGGTGGGTGATTGGGTGGGTGAGTGAATGGGTGGGTGATTGGGTGGGTGAGTGACTGGGTGGGTGAGCGAGTGGGTGGGTGACTGGGTGGGTGATTGGGTGGGTGGGTGAATGGGTGGGTGATTGGGTGGGTGAGTGACTGGGTGGGTGAGCGAGTGGGTGATTGAATGGGTGGGTGAGCGAATGGGTGGGTGAGCGAGTGGGTGGGTGAATGGGTGGGTGATTGGGTGGGTGAGTGACTGGGTGGGTGAGCGAGTGGGTGGGTGAATGGGTGGGTGAATGGGCGGGTGGGTGACTGGGTGGGTGAGTGAATGGGTGGGTGAGCGAGTGGGTGAGTGAATGGGTGGGTGAGTGAGTGGGTGGGTGGGTGAATGGGTGGGTGATTCCGTGAGTGAATGGGTGGGTGATTGGGTGGGTGAGTGAATGGGTGGGTGAGTGAGTGGGTGGGTGGGTGAATGGGTGGGTGATTCCGTGAGTGAATGGGTGGGTGATTGGGTGGGTGAGTGAATGGGTGGGTGAGTGAGTGGGTGGGTGGGTGAATGGGTGGGTGATTCCGTGAGTGAATGGGTGGGTGATTGGGTGGGTGAGTGAATGGGTGGGTGAGTGAGTGGGTGGGTGGGTGAATGGGTGGGTGATTCCGTGAGTGAATGGGTGGGTGATTGGGTGGGTGAGTGAATGGGTGGGTGAATGAGTGGGTGGGTGGGTGAATGGGTGGGTGATTCCGTGAGTGATTGGGTGGGTGGGTGAGCGAGTGGGTAGGTGAATGGGTGGGTGATTCCGCGAGTGATTGGGTGGGTGATTGGGTGGGTGAGTGCGTGACTGGGTGGGTGGGTGAGTGACTGTGTGGGTGGGTGAGCGAGTGGGTGGGTGGGTGAATGGGTGGGTGATTCCGTGAGTGATTGGGTGGGTGGGTGAGCGAGTGGGTGGGTGAATGGGTGGGTGATTCCGTGAGTGATTGGGTGGGTGGGTGAGCGAGTGGATAGGTGAATGGGTGGGTGATTCCGTGAGTGATTGGGTGGGTGGGTGATTGGGTGGGTGAGTGAGTGACTGTGTGTGGGTGGGTAAGTGCGTGAGTTTGGTGGGTGATTGAGTAAGTGATTGGGTGGGTTCGTCGGTGGGTGGGTAGGTGAGTGAGTGGGTGAGTGAATGGGGTGGGTGAGTAGGTGAGTTAGGGTCAGTGATTGAGTGAGTGGGTGGGTGATTGAGTCAGTGATTGGGTGAGTTGGTGGTGAGTGAGTGGGTGGGTGGGTGAGCGAGTGGGTGGGTGAATGGGTGGGTGATTCCGTGAGTGATTGGGTGGGTGAGTGAGTGACTGTGTGGGTGGGTAGGTGCGTGAGTTTGGTGGGTGATTGAGTAAGTGATTGGGTGGGTTAGTCAGTGGGTGGGTAGGTGAGTGAGTGGGTGAGTGAGTGAGTGGGTGGGTGAGCGAGTGGGTGGGTGGGTGAATGGGTGGGTGATTCTGTGAGTGATTGGGTGGGTGGGTGAGTGACTGTGTGGGTGGGTAGGTGCGTGAGTTTGGTGGGTGATTGAGTCAGCGATTGGGTGAGTTGGTGGTGAGTGAGTGAGTGGGTGGGTGAGTGAGTGGGTGAGTGAGTGAATGGGGTGGGTGGGTGAGTAGGTGAGGTAGGGTCAGTGATTGAGTGAGTGGGTGAACCCGTGAATGACTCAGTGCGCAAGTGAGTAGGTGGGTGATTGAGTCGGTGATTGGGTGAGTTGGTGGTGAGCGAGTGGGTGGGTGAGCGAGTGGGTGGGTGAACGATTGGATGGGTTGGCCATTAAGCGGTTGGGTGTGTTTGAGTGTGTGTCTGTCGTTGTGTGTGCACGTGTGTGTGGGGAGCGGTGGTGTAGTGGTTAGCGCTACGCTGCGCTATGAACCCGGCGACCCGGGTTCGATTCCCGTTCATGGCCAACACCAGTGACGATTATCTGAACTGGTCCCGGGCCTCCCCTAGGTCGACTCAGCCTAAAATGAGTACCCGGTGCGGTGTGTAAACATCGCCACTGGGGAAACAAAGGCGGTCGGGCGTGGTGCTGGCCACCCACCCCCTCGTGTACCATTCCGGCCTTCATAGGTGCTCGCTAACAGCACTTGCCCCTACAGTCTGTTAAGGCTATACGGGGGATCTTTGTCTTTGTATCTACACCCGCGCGCGTGTGTATATGTACACGTGTGTGTGTGTGTACATGTACACAGGAGATCCCCACGACGGAGGAGCAGAGGGCCCCATCACGGAGCTCCGCAGACCCAACCATCGACTCGTTAGGGGACACAGACACAGAGCCAGGTGAGTGAGCGTTTGAGGCTGAGCCTACCTAGAGGTGGCACGGTGCATTCAGCCTCCCCAGGTACACATAGAAATTTATATCAGCCAAATACTGTACATGCATGTTTCTAAATGTGGAGGGGAAAACCCAGAGGACCCGGAGAAAAATCCATGCGACCACCATGGGGAGAGAGACACCGCAAACTCCAAATATACAGGCCAGGGTAGGCATCAAACCCACGACCTCCTGTGTACCAGGCGAGAGAGTTAACATCTCCTAGCCACCACGGCGCCCTGAACTCCTCTTTTAAAATTCTTTATATTAAGTTCGCTTGCTTGTTTCTGACCGTGCAAATCTTTCGGTCGTTTTTTAACCCACTTCCCGTGATCCAATCGAGCTGACATTTTCCACACAGACTCGTTGTGCGTGACAATTAATGTTCGTGAAATTGTTTTTTCCAAAATGTTACACTTTTTAGGACAAAAATATTATATTTAATTACCAATTGCTTAATGGTGCAATGCAATCATCTGACCCATAGGTGGCAGCCATCTCAAGCCAGAGGACGAGAGGACTCTAGCCGCCACGCATATAAAGGATTTATAGTGAAAAACTTTGTTTTTACGGGTTATACTTGTTCCCAACTCTTCCCTGCAGGCGACGGCCTCCCAACCGCGGACAGCGACGGCGAGAGGAGGGGCGGTGTGTCCTGCGACTCGGGCCTAGCGACGCAGGCCTCATCCTCCCCCTCGCCTGGGCACAGGCCCCCGCTGCTACAGGAGGAGGCCGAACAGCAGCAGCAGCAACATCAACAACAACAACAGCAGCAGCAGCATCAGCAGCACCAGCAACAGTGATCCCGCGAAAGCCCCAGGTGTCTCTCTCGTACAGAAACCTCCCAAAGGGCCATCTTTGTACCCACTGGTGGCCATTTTTTGTACCGCGGGAACCCGTTTTTTTTAGCACCGCTGGTGGCCACTTTTATTTTTTACATTATAGTAAAAACGGCGGCCGTATTAGCGCTGTTTGGCGGCCACAGTAGGTTTGTTGTCTTCCGATATCTGAAGGCCGAAGATGCATTCGCAGTCGCGCGCACTCCAGCAGGATTGCTTCAAACGTTGCCTTCGCCTTGTGGCGACGTTTTCTCGGGTTTGTGCCGCGATGGCCTATTCTTTTTAATTCCTGTTTTTAAGCGGCAGAATTTTAGCAAACCTGACGGCCATTTTGGTACCGCTGGCGGCCATTAGCACCGATGCCGGCCATTTTGTTTATTTCCCGTGGCCATTTAATACCGCTGGCAGTCATTTAAGGCCGTTTTTCCTTATCGGATTGGAGCAGGGTTGTTGCCGCTTCTGAGGTACACAAAAAAAAAACCCGGGTACATATCATGGGAAGATGGAGAAGAGGAATATCTCACAATAGCGGAAGAGGGGAAAACAGCACTACATGTGAATGCGGATTATTGTTCTTGTTATGAAGCAACTGAGAAAAAAAAAACACCGGGACTTTGAATGTCCCAGGAAGACTGAAAGATCTTCCCAGGACCTCAGCTGCCCGGCTCAACAAAACGAAGTCCCTGGAAAGGCCATGATGGGTGGCAAACCCACTCGCTCGCTAGCTCGATTATTCACCCACTCACTCATCCAGTCACTAAATCACCCACCCGCTCACTCATCCACCAAGTCACCTACTTCATTCACCTGTTCGCTCATTGTAACCCACTTACCCAGCCACCAACTCATCCATACATCCACCCACTCACTCGTCAGCTTACCAATTCACTCAACCACCCCCTGGAAGACTGACGGATTTCCCCCAGGACAGCAGCTGCTTCCTTACTCAACAAGAGGACAATGATCTATTAGAACGCCAGGACCAGGTGGAAGCCCTTGTGACGGGGGCCTTCTCTGTCACTGCCGCCCTCCTCCGTTCTAGGCGAGGCAAACGGTTTCACCCTACAAAAGCGTGGCCATCTTGGTTAATGGAAAGTGCCGGATTGCGATGGGCGGGGCTGTTCTTCTTTGCTTTAAAAGTCCTTCGCTTGAGATGCTAAACCGCGCGTTCTCACCCGTTAATGCACACTTTATTTCCCGCAAACATTTTTCAGACGGAACACATGTTTCCTCCTCCTCCTACCTGTGATGGCTTATAAGGGTGGCCATATTAGGCAAGGAAATGCCACTAGTTTACTCTACATTTAGCCATCTTCGGGTAAGGGAATGGCAGTTGCAGAAGGCTGCCATATCGTATAAGTCTCGGTTATCTTCAACCATTGTGGTGGGTAAGCCAGTTACATAGAGCAGCCATACTGGGTAAGGGGAAAGGCTCAGCTTTCGTGGCGGCCATCTTGGGCAAGGCAGTTGCAATGAGCAGCCATCTTGGGTGAGGGAAAACGTCTCGGCATCTGCCCTGCCAACTTGGGTAAGAATATGTAATGAGCAAGCCATCTTGGGTACGTGGGTGGGGGGGGGGCTCAGTATCTGGAGGCCATGTTTAGTTAGGGGGGGGGGGGGGGAAGTCAGCATCTGGTGGCACTCTTGGGTAAGGACAGTTTTTTTATGAGCAGCCATCTTGGGCAAGGAAAAAGGCTCAGTATCTGGTGGCCATCTTAGGTAAGGGAAAAAAGGCTCAATCTGGTGGCCATCTTGGGCAAGTAAGAGTTTTTGCGAGCAACCAACTTGGGTCAGGAAAAGAGGCTCAACATCTGGTGGCCATCTTTGGTAAGGGAAAAAAGCTCAGCATCTGGTGGCCATCTTGGGTAAGGAAGTGTGTTACAAGCAGCCATCTTGGGTACAGAAAAAAGGCTCAGCATCTGTGGGACAAACTAAGGCTTTTATTACGACGGGAGAGAGACGAGGCAGTCAGCATCTGGTGGCACTCTTGGGTAAGGACGTTTTTATGAGCAGCCATCTTGGGCAAGGAAAAAAAGGCTCAGTATCTGGTAAGGGGAAAAGGCTTGGCGTTTGTGGCCATCTTGGGTAAGGAAAAAAGGCTCAATCTGGTGGCCATCTTGGGCAAGGGAAAAAAAGGCTCAATCTGGTGGCCATCTTGGGCAAGGGAAAAAAAGGCTAAATCTGGTGGCCATCTTTGGTAAGGGAAAAAAGCTCAACATCTGGTGACCATCTTGATTAAGGGAAAAAAAGCTTAGCATCTGGTGGCCATCTTGGGTAAGGAAGTGTTTTGCAAGCAGCCATCTTGGGTACGGAAAAAAAGCTCAGCATCTGTGGCCATCGAGGGTAAAGGGACATTTCTTTTTTGGGTAAAAGGAACAAACTCAGGCTTTTCTTACGACGGGATAGAGAGACAAGGCATTTCGGTCCGTTAGACCGGTAGAGTCGCAGTACTTACATATCTATAGACAAACTCGCTCGCCATTCATACCTATAACCCTTGAACTTTGACCTATCACTTAAATTTAGGCCAATTGTACATATAATTGTTCCGGTGTGTGTGCGTTTGTTTTTTAATCGTTTTCTATTTGTACGCAAGCGGGTGCCTGGCACGTGTTTAAATTTCTGCCGTGCGAGCGAGAGAGCTATTTTATACTATGAAATTTGAAACTGTACAATGTAATAATGTTTTTTTTTACGTTTAAACCGTGTAATTGTTCGTTTCTCGTACTATTTGTTGTTTTTCCTTTAAAACAACAACAACAACGAACTTGATTGTGTGAAGAAGAAACAAAAAAGACGTTTCGAACCAGAGTTTGCAGCGGTCCGTCCGTTTCAATTTCAGTTCACGTGGTTTACCGTTCAAAAGTGCACGGCCGCTCAAACTTTGCTTCTCCAAACATTCCTCTGACACGGTCATTACAATCCCACTTTCCTCCCCCCTCCTTCAGAAAGATGCCCTCCCCCCCAAGATGCAGGGATTGAACCCGTGACCTCAGCAGTCAGTGGCCGGTCGGCGCAACGTCTCCCAACGAGACCAAATTGCGTGATACAACTCTGGATAACGAAGCGAAGCCTAATTATCATAACCGCACACATTAACATAATCGCAAGCATTCGCGTAAATTAATACGATTATCTCCGTGGTTATAATTTATGCAGAAATTTACATACATTAGCATAATTTCCACGATTTGAGCATTCTTCCTATTTTGTATTAATTTTTTTTATTTTTATCCAAATTTCATAACCCGACATATACAACACAGCCGACCTCCCGGGATTAAGACAGTGCCGGATGAAGCCTCGCAAGTGCAGAATCACTGAACCCGAATTGATAGCTTGAAAGCATTTATTCTTTGGTTCTTTCGGTAAAGTCACGTATAAAGATAAAATAATAAATTAAATACTGGCATACTACGACGTTTCGATTGCAACACAAGCAATCATCATCAGGAACGTCGTATGCTATTGTTTAATTTATTATTTTTTCTTTATACGTGACTTTACCGAAAGAACCAAAGAATAATTCCTGCAGTCACGAAAGCTCCAAAATTAAGATTGAAACCATTTAGCGCGCGGGCCCTTGAAATTGCTGGGCCCGTGGCATTATGTAGTTACTTTTGCTACTGGGATCATCCGACAATGCGGCAGTGTTCGATAAAGGTCGCGCTTTTCAACAAAGTCGGAAAAAAAATCATTGCTATTTCCGTACACTTGGCGAAGGCAAAAAGGTCACCGTCCCGTTCAGAGACAAGACTTCATCGCGTGGAGTGGCGTTGCTATCGGCCGACTCCCGTAGAGTCGCTCCGATACGAATGGAAATCTCGTGTTGCTATTGGAGTGAACCGGAGCACGTTGATCCGCGGGGTCAACGAGTGAGCCCCCCATCTGCTCGTAACGTGGGAGTGCCGGTCAACTTCCCGTAGAGTCATCTTCTTGGTTCTTTCGGTGAAGTCACGTAGAATGTAAATAATAAAATAATAAAAATTAAACAATCAATTATTTCCCATAATATGCTAAATTCCTCTTGATATGAAAATTATTTTGTCAAGGCGCTCTTCCCCCCTCCAACCCAGCTTAAATAGACGCTCCAAGCCTGGGGTGTGTCATTCAGACTCTGTCTTCTCGACAGACCTGTTCACGGCTGCTTGCGTTGTGGCCGAAACGTCGTGAGAATTGTATTTTATGAAGTTTTATTTTTATTATTTCCATTCTACGTGACTTTCCCGAAAGAACCAAGAAGATGAATCCCTGCAGTCACGAAAGAAGCTTTAAATCGAAATTTTCCCGTAGAGTCTTTGCGATACGCATGGTTGTTCTTCCTTGAAAGCCGCGGTTTTATTCAACTCCTGTCTAGAGAGACAGAGAGAGATCGGTGTTGGGATCGGTACCTACGCGCGCGTTTAAAATGATCTTTATTTTTGTAACGGTTAATCGAGTATTATTATTTTTAATATCACCGTCACTGTATATTGTGGTTCGTCGTTTTTTTAAATTGTAAGCAATTAATCGCTGACTCGGCGCAATGTAAGCATTTGCCGAGCAGGGCGTGTGTCAATGTTAGGGTAAATAGGTCTCGGAAAATGAAATCAGCCGATTTGATTGTTTTTGTATTTTCAAAAGAGGAAAAGGTGCAGATTTAAAACGCCGTGGAGGGAATGTGGAACGCGCCACGCACTTTCTACCACGTGGGAGACCAGCGGATCCCAGCCACCACAGCACGGGCGGCGGACGATTTACCCAAGATCTGCGGTCCTGTGTTTGGATGTTCGGCCAACTCGGTTCGATAAGGGTGTACGTACGCACGTTGTAATTCTTTCGCACCGTCTGTGCTAATCGGAGGTGCGAGGGTAAGGATGACAAACTTACAAAGACCTTAAGAAGCAGTTCTACAGAAATGAATTTGTCAATCTTGACGATTTTAAAGTGCTAAGCTCCTTGTGGCTTTCTAATGTATGTACGTTGCACTTATTTCACACCGTCCGTAGCCGACCACGTAATCGGAGGTGTGGAGGGAAGGGCAGAAAACTGAAACGGTTCTAAATGATCTTCTTGGTTCTTTCGGTAAAGTCACGTAGAAGGGAAATAATAAAATAATAAAAATAAAAACATAATAAAATAATTCTCACGACGTTTCGGCCACAACGCATCATCGTTCAGACGCTGTCTTTCCGACAGACCTGTTCTTCACCTGAGGACGGCTGCTTGCGTTGTGGCCGAAACGTCGTGAGAATTGTATTTTATTATGTTTTATTTTTATTCTTTTATTATTTCCCTTCTACGTGACTTTACCGAAAGAACCAAGAAGATGAATCCCTGCAGTCACGAAAGCTTTAAATCGAAATTTTATTATGTTTTATTTTTATTATTTTATTATTTCCCTTCTACGTGACTTTACCGAAAGAACCAAGAAGATGAATCCCTGCAGTCACGAAAGAAGCTTTAAATCGAAAGGTTCTAAATGAGTTTTCAATCTGGATGATGATCTAAAAGTGCCGCAAATCCCCGTGGGGCTTCCTGATATCGGAAGAGCGAGTTCCTTACTGACGAGGAAACTGGGAGGACCCGCAGACAACAACGCATCGTGTGAGATGGTGCATGGGGGGGTGAGAAACGCTCAATCACCGTACGGATGGCAATCATCCCACTTGCTGTACTGCCTTCATCTCCTGTCTACGAGCCTGGAGATGATAATTGTTTTTTTACCTTCTATCTGGCAACAAAACTGACACCTTTTTTTACAAGGAGTCATGTTTGCATAGACCACAATACCTGCAGTCATAATGCAAACAAAAAACATAACTCTGATAATATATGCACTGTCCTTGAAGTTAATTGGTCCACACCCGAGACAGCTTTCCTTAGAGCCTAGTCTCACATGGGTTGGACCAGATGACGCCAAAAGGCGTATATTATCAGAGTTATGTTTTT